TATTTCTTTTTAAAGATTTTTTTTATTTATTTGAGAGAGAGTGAGAGAGAGCACAAGTGGGTGGAAGAGGTAGAGGGAGAAGAACAAGCAGACTCCCCACTGAGCAGGGAGCCTGACTGGGGGCTCCATCCCAGGACCCCGGGATCATGACCTGAGCCATAGGGAGACGCTTAACTGACTGAGCCACCCAGGTGCCTCGTCTTTTCAACCTTTTAAAGATTGATTTTGGATCTGACTTTCCTGCCTCCAAAGAAGGACTCAGGCTGACCAAGAGCAAACTAGCTAAGGGGTAGAGTATGCCTCCTTGTCTTGTTCTAGACCAGAGAGGCTCTAGCCTCACTCCTGTGTGAGGTATGCTGGTGGCCATGTGAGGATGGCGGGTGGGAAATCAGATCCTGAAGAGAAGATGGAGGTGGGTGAACTGAGCAGGAGTGTGAGCAGGAGTCCAAGTTGCCTCATGGGAGACAGAGATGGCTGCCCCTCACCTCTGCTTCTTGTGGAGGTCGGCTTGTGGCGCTTGGGTCCACCTGCCAAACAGTCAAACCTAGAAACCAGGATGGCGAGCATACACTCATGTCTGGGCCCCGTGGCCTGCCACAGTGGGCATTATTGAGGGAAACATACCACAGTGTTGGCTGTATTTTGACGCTTCTGGGGCCCCATGGACTAGTGGCTCCTGACCCCAAATTTTTATGTTGGCATCCCAGATCACAAGTAAGTCTGCTAGGTGATTTTGAGGTCACCTGCAGCTCAGGCGGCAGGGAGGTTCTTTTGTAGAACTGGGAGTGTCCTGGGGGGCTGTCCTCAGTTCAGAAGAATGAATGACATTCCTTCCCTTGTCCCCGTCAGGTCTGGCACCTCCCGTGAGCAAAGCTCATGTTGGGGTCTCATCCCTGCTGAGTCTGCTTGCTGGAGGGCCAGTGATTCCAAGAGCTGATGTATGCCTTTCCTTCGGTCCCAATGGCCTCACTTGTTATTCAGAGACTTTGGAAATAACCGATGGGCTTCCAGGAAATATCAGATATGGGATGATGTGTGAAGCTTTAAATTTCCATTTTCAATCTTCAGCCAACATCATAATGATAATATATGAAAAAGAAACTCCCTTTGGGGGTTCTCCCTTTGACATATATTACGAGGGTGACCCAGTGGTAAGTAGAATTGGGTAAGGAATGTGCTGATGTTTCTTCCCCAGTCCAATCTTGGCTATGTGTCATGGTGGGCATGAGGATGCTTGTGGCCTGCTGAAATAAGGTTGGGCCAAAGGCTACTGGATTGTCAGGGGGTGAGGAGGAAGCAGTGTGACCCAATGATGCTGCCCAGAAACATACACAAATTCTATCCCAGCATTTCTGCATGCCAAGATCTTAGGGAGACACTATAGGGAATCTCTCAAAAATGCACCTGTCATCTTTTCCTTCTTATTATTCTTCTTATAATCTCCTTGGTATTTTCTAGTGTACTTATTCAAAATGTGTAGTGAACATACTCTACACTCTACAAGCTATATATTATATATATTCTCCATATACCTCTGTATGTATACAAATATAACACATGTAACCTAAAACAAATCAGACACTTTCCCTCCAAAATCTCAGTTTCTTCTAATCAATGATTAGCGGAACTGCTTCTCCTGTACATCAATCAGAAGGAAATGCCAGTAAATTGACTTTACCTAATCTAGGTAACCTACCCTCCTTTACACAGGTTCCATTTGCCCAAGACCTGAGAGCTTAGGAATCTTGGGAAAGCAGAACAACCTTCCTTGAAGCTCTTCCTGGAATCAGCTGACCATAAGGAGACACATTTCTGGCTCACCTGTCTGATCCCACCTGCTCATCCCGTCCCTCTCCTCTGACTTTTCTAGGCTCTGTCCCCCCCCCCATAAAGGCAAATTCTTTTCTCCTGACTTGTGAGACACTTGCAGATCTTGTGCTCCCAGCATTCTCTTTGTTGCTGTAATTGTTTTGATTAAAAAGTCTCTTTACTGAAGACTAGATTTGTTTTGTTTTGTTTTGTTTTCTTGAAAATTCTCATTACGCAGTGATGAATCAGGCACCACTGAGAGTGATCGAAACCTTTTCTGAAAGGTCTTTAAAGCAAGATGGAATCCCATTTGTCTGAGGCTTGTCTTGGGCAGGAGAGCTGCCTAATTGTTTTGTCTCTAATGCACCAGGAAAAGACCTAGAGACCCACCACACACGCGTGTTGTCCTGGATTTCGGCTGAACTCTCTGGCGAAGTGGTTGATAATAAAGAATATTTTGGTGAGGATGTGTTGAATTTCTTCTGTTTCCCACTAGCCAGAGACAAAATATACGGCAGAAGGATCTGGGTCCCCACAAAAGTGTTGAAAAGAGGAAAACAAAAAGTCCACATTGCCTGTGGGATCATCAGACTTGGGTTATCGATGTTGCATTTTATATGACAAAGAGTAAGTTAGGAGGATCACCAAGGATATGGTGCCCACAAATGTTCTAGCTCCCATGGGACTGCAGCTGCCCCGAACCACTCAGTGTACTTTCCTTGTTTGGAGAGTCTGGGGAATGTGGGGGTCTCTTCACAGACCCTTCTGGCAGGGCCATTAGCTCCTGGGGAACAGCATTCCTACATCCGGACCATCCTAAGATAACCAACCGGGAAACTCACTCTGGGATGGCCTTCCTTCAGTGGGTGCTCAGGACATGGGTTTTCTGTACTGACGTTGTTGTAGATCCTGGGAAGGAGTTCATCTCGGCCTCTACCAGTTCACTCCTACCATCCAGCAGGGGCATCTAAACACAAACAACTCCATTCTCACTCCCTGCTGAAAACCCTTCAATGGCTCTCTGACTTCTGGATAAAGTGTACCCACCTTAGCATGGTGTACAAAATTCTCCAGAAGGAAAGCGCTCAGGCACTCAGGGAGGGCAAGCCTGCCTCCAGGCACCTCCCACGGGTACAGCAGGGACCTTGGCCCTCCTCTTCTCCTTCTCAGGACTCCTCCACCAGTGGTTCTCAATTTTGGCTGTCTAGGAACCTCCTGGAGATTTGAGATCACCACTGTCAGGCCCACCTGCAGGGATCCCGATCTAACTGGTCTGGGTTGGGGTAGGCAGTAGAAGCTGGAAAGCCCTGGACTCAACCTCATGTACAGCCAGGAGGAGGCATCCCGTCCCGAAACCAGTCTCGGTTGCTGGAAATCACAGCAGCCCACGTCATTTCCCCCTGGCCCTGGTGTGGTGCAGACAGTGGTTCCTACCACCATGGCATTCTGTCTGTCTGGTTCTGCCCTGTCCCACTGTCTCTGTCCGGAGCCGGGCTTGGCTCAACATCCTGCTCACCCACAGCCATACCTTCTGCCTCTCTGTCTCTATACCAGTCTCTTGCTCCCACACTCGTCTGTGCACATTTGTCATTCACTGTCTGGTATCTGTAAGCTTTCCCCTCTACCCACCTGTACAGCTGCCATAAAATTTGGCTCTGCCCACCGCTCCATGCTCCTCCCTGGAGATGCAGGGACTCCCCCTCCTTGCCTGACATTTCGTCCCGGCATTGAGCCTGTGTTTCCAGGAAAACAAGCCTCTACCTGTCTGTACTCATACTTCACCCTGCACCTGTGACAAGGGAAACAGAGTTAGGGCATTGCTGGGTGCCAAGCTCTGGGCTCTCGTTTCTTCCTTTCACACATGGGTTCCAGAGAAGGTGGGGCCAATGTTTGAGCACATGCACATAGTCCTAGCTTCACATCTTAGGGCTCAGAGGCCAGCCACTGGCCGTGAGGGCGCTCATCCCCAAGGTGAAGGCCACCACGGCCAGGAAGTCCCCAGCAGAGGTGGCAGGGCTGTGGCAGCTCCCCTCGCAGCTGGGCTGCTTTCCCACATCAGTCAGTGACAGGTGTGGGAAGGATAGGAGAGCGGGAATCAGGAGGAGCCCAGTAGAGAAGGGGGGGGAGCACGCAAGGATGGTGGTCTGAGGGCAGGGTGATGACACGCGGAACTGTTTGTGTGGTGGGAGAGGAGAAAGGAATGCGAGAGAGAGGGGCTGGACAGGAAACTGAGGCCAGATCCCAAAGGTGGCAGTGCCATCCCAGTGGCAGCCAGGAAAGGTTTGGGAAGTCAGAGCTGGGCTTTGGGAGATCAAACGTGGCCAGAGGCTCCAGAAGGATGGGAAGGGGGACTTGGGACGTTTAGACCTGCTGAGACATGGGTACAAGCATCCCAGGCCAGAGGTCCTCAGGCCCTGGGCTACTGCAGTGCCTGCGGGAAGAGAAGAGAGGAGAGGGCGGTGGGCAGCGTCCCCGTCAGCACCCTCCACCTGTCACCCTGTCCTGGGTCTCTCCATAGCTCCAACCAACCCACGGCAGGTGCCATGCACTCAACTCATTTCTGGATTGCATCCCCTTCCGGTGGAAGGTACGCTCCAGGGGGGCAGGGATTTTGATCTCTGTTTGTTAGTTTTCTCCTGGCATGTAATAGTCCTTCAAGGAGGGCATACGTGAGGTAAGAGCCTAGAATCAGCTGGACATGCTCACCGCCCGAATAAGTGCCACAAGGAGACAGAGCCGCCAAGGATGCCCCATGGGGTGGAACCCAGTAACCAGGAGAAGGGTTTGTGACAACTGCTGCTACCCCACACCTGTCCCTGTCACCGGGACCGCCGCATCTGCTGACTGTCCTCAGCCTGGACCGGAGATCCTGGCAATCCCTCTGCAGTCGCTTCCTTGTCCACACCCACAAGAAAACAGCAGAGCATGACACTGGAGCCCTGTTCTAGATGAGGAGACAGAATGGCTGACCACCAAAATGTCAGCCTTGTGAGTCACTGGAATAAACCAATCCTGCCTGCCTCCCCACAGCCCTGCCTGGGGACACAGGGGCCTCCTGTTATTACCGTCATGAGCAGTCATGTTACCGTTAACGTCATGTTGTTGATATTGGTGACAGCAATGATAGTTAACAAGACCCGCCATTTTTCGCACCCAAGAACTTGAACCAGGCAGACCTCAAGGCAGTTTAACTAACATTATTTTATTGCACCCCCTCAACAGTCCTAACTGGTAGGTATTAACCTTTTTGTTTCACAGTCAGTGAGTGTGAGGTGCGGGGAGTTCAGTACCCAGACGACAAAGGTGTCAGCTGTGTCTGTGTCGCAGATCAGAACTCTCCTGACCAAGCACTACATGTGGTCCCCCATAGACCAGGAGCCCATGGAAGAAGGCGAGAGGCGATCTAGCTAAGTCCGTATCGCCCCGTGGTGCACAGCAGGCCTGGCATGCGGTGGGTGCCCACTCTGGGGTGCAGTGCAACACCAGCAGAAACAATCCGGCTCCCCGCAGGTCACGGATCTAGGGGCGGGAGGTCCGCCACTTAGCCAGGCTCCACTTCTCGGTGCGTGGGACCTGCAGCTGAACGGGTCCCAGGACGACGTCCACCTTCTCCTGGTAGGAGCCCACGTCCCTCTTGGACCTCAGGATGCAGCCTCTGCGGCAGCGGGAGAAGTAGTCGTCAGCCCTGCACACCACCATCTTACACCGCAGGTACACGGAGGGGAAGCGCCTCAGGAAGTAGAAGGAACTGAATTTGAAGCGGGCGATGCGAGGCGACGGCTGAGGGTAAGACTGGTAGGTGTTGTCCTTCACGCACCTGGAAGAAGAGAAAAGCGGCCCATCAGCCATGGATGCGCTGCCTTCTCCATGACGCGCATGGGCCAGGCCCACGCCTCCGGCTGCAAGTTCCTTCCCTCAGAACGTGTGGTTCACACATCGCCTCCAGGAGAACCCCAGCAGCTCTGGTATGTCAGCAGCATCTTAAAGCAGCAAATCGGCGCAGGGTTTCCACACAGACAAGCAGGCCCCATATTGCACAGTGGGTGCTCGGGGACCCCGCGCTGGATGGCCCTGGAAACCCAGGGGAGTGACGGAAGCAGCAGGGCCCAGAGAGACGGCATGAAGGAAGATGACATTTCCTTTCCTTTCCTGGCCTCAGGGCCAGGCAAGGTGGCACTGGGCTACTCTCTGTTGTCTTTGGTGGCCACCAGCCCCACCCCCTCCCAAATTTCTGGGGCTGTCTCCTGACCCACCTCAACTTGCCCTGAACCCTGGATGGCTTACTTTCCACATGAGCCTAAGTACTCTCCAGTACCCCCCACTCCAATATCAACTGCCTCCTTATTCCCTCAGACGCCTCATCTCCACTGGTGTTAGTGGGAAGGTTACTTAAGAATCCCCTGAAAGAAACCTTATTAAGATATGGGTGAGGAGCATCTCCCAGCTCTACCCCCAGTTGAGCAAGCAGCTTGCATAACCCAGGAACACCCCTTAACAGGAGGATTTGGGGTGATGTAGCAAAGAGGAGAGCAAAGAAACTGGCCCATGGGGTTTAGGGTGGAAATTTTTGTGGTGGATGGGAGCTGTCACTAAGGCAGCCTGATTCTGCCTGGAAATGTGGCCCAGGGTTCACTCAGTATCTTCTTTCCCCCTTCCAGAGGGTCCTTCCTCCGCTTTCAGTGCACATTCTCTCAAATACCACATTATTTTTTCCACAGGGGTCAGTTTAGCAACAAAGATGAGAAAGAAAGTACACAGAACCTCATCAGGAAGTAGGACAGTTGTAAATGAGGTCAGGGTAACCCACGGGGCTGCTGGGCAATAATTGCATTTCCCATAAAACCACACTACTCAGGGTGGTCTGTATGGGCCAGAGCTCCCTAATCCAGGCTGCACTTCAGAATCACGGCGGGGGGGGGGGGGGGGGGGGGGGGGAAGTTTTGAAAATACAGATACCCAAGCCCCACGACAGACGTGATAAAGTGAATGTGCAGGTGGGGCCGGGGATGGGTGTGTCTGAAGATCCAGATTCCTCCAACGGGCATCCAGTTGGGTGATCTGGCTGATCCTCAGGTGTAGCCAATGTGTCCCTCCAGGTACAGTTGGGTCCACATCTACCCCCACGTGCATGCCCCCCCCCGAGGAAATTGCATTATCTTATATACATATGTGCCAGAATTTGACCAAAAAGAATATTTTAGCAAAAAAGAACCAAATCACTCATTTATGTTAATCTCAATCATCTGACATAAATTCAAATGTCACTTTGTTACTATTTGTAGAAAGAGAATTTGGGTAAGCTTCTCCCACATCTTTGCTGCCAAGGGGGCTGTTGTGAATTGAACCAACTGCATAGACTGAACGAGGCAAGCCTCAACACGTGTTCACCGAATTGACACATACTCAAACTGTGCCTGGAAAAAGGTGCTGTTTTTAGTATCTCTGGGAGGTGTACAATTTAACTTCCCAACCCTGATTCCTAGCAGAGCCCCTTAGCGTATCAGTACAACTTCTGTATTGTACTTCTATGTGATTGTTACTGAGGTGCCAAGGTCAAATTATAAGCAAAGAAATGGTGCACACACCAATGGACAGAGACAAAGGAGTAAGGATCGGAGTGTACATCCCAGCATCCCAGGACTCCTTGATGAGCTCCGAAGAGGCAAATTTGACCTCACCAGAGTCCAGTCATCCAGGGAAGCAGGACTGTAGCGGAGGAGCCCAATCTGGTCACCACTGACCCTAGCCTGGGCACCACTGGCCTGACCTCTGCATCTCTTGAGCTTGGTTAGAACCACCATTCTCAGCTGCTAGGTCAAGAGACCCCTGCTGACCCCTGCTACCCACAGCATTCCTTGCGCACCACCTGCTGTGCATGCTCTTTGCCCAGGGCCCCATCGACTCCTTCCCATTTCATCCTCCCAACAGTCTACGATGTGGGCAGCACTATTCTCATCTGATGGGGGAAGAGACTAGCTCAGAGGATACGATGCTTGCCCAGAGTGATGCAGCTGCTACATGGAGGACTGGCATCTCAATCTTGATCTGCTGCAGAATCAAGGCTTTCCCCACTACACGCCTGTCTTCTTATGGAGTTCGATTACCTGGGTCAAATCCCAGTTACAACTAACCTGCTTGGTGACCACTGGTGGTTCATTCACTTCCCCGCACATCCATTTCCCTAGATGTTAACCAGGTATGACAACCTGACTGGTTAAGTTCGCTCTACCAGAACCAAAGTCCTTGAGACTTTAGGCTACTCATGTTTGAATTGTCAGGTAAAGCTTGACATTCACCCCATGAAGACACTCCTTACCCACTCCGGATTAGATCGTAAGTCAGAGATGTAAAGTCATTGGAATATGGGGACGCCACACAGGTATCCACAAACAAGGACAAGGAGGTGTCAGAATGGATGATCTCAGCCTGAAGGTACAAGTTCTGGTTCAGGTCCACATAGTACGGGCTGCTGGTCACTGGATATAAAAATGAAGAAGATGTATAAAAGGAAATGTTCACGTCAAAATTGCCATACTGCACTTCATTGACCTCGATGGTGTCATTAGCAATGTATACGGTGTTAACCCAGGTATTCTGGAGCATTTTGCAGCAGATGTGAATGTGGAGATCCTTCTTGCTCTTGATGGTGGCACTTGGAACAGCTACTCTGAGGAAGTTGGAATAGATGATGGTATCATTATCTACCTGGGAGACAAAGATAGGAGAGCAAAGTCAAGCAAATATCACCTGTTAAGGGAAACTCACTGCTGATTTGTTTACAATGAGAGGGAAGTGACTCGGCCAGACTTTAAAACCCTCCCAGGACCACACAGAGAAGGCACATGGCTGCCATGGCTCTCATTATCTGGGCTGGGCATGCTGCTTAACTAGCAGGACTCACTCCTTTCACACAACCCCTTCCTCTACCACGTGATGGGGACTGCAGTGTGGGCCAGGTGTTGGGGCCTCCTAGGAGCTGCTCCCCATGGGAAGATGGGTGTGTCTGGATCACGCCTTTCCCTGCTGAATGACCAAGCTGTGTCCGGACTCCATGGCTTAGGGCCTTTCATGCTTGCTTTGCTTCATTCTCGCTGTGGTTGGGAGAAACCAAGGGAGGTGGCCATGGACTTGAGGGAGAGGCTGGTGGGATCAGCTTTCACTGTGCTAGTTGGATGGCTCAGTAGCAGCTTAGTGTCTGAGGCTGCCAGGACCTGAAGGGGCAGAGGGTGGAGTTTTAGCTGCAGTGGGACTCTGACCACTGGGGTAGGGGCTCCCCCAGAGGCTCATGTGGACTGAGCAATGCTGGAGCACTTCCTGTCACACGCTGCTTTGTCACTCCCCGTACCATGGGACAGGTTCCTAATGTGCCTTTTAGCAAGCAGCAAATTCCTCAGAATGTGGGTCTCTCATGCCATTTGATGTGCCTAAGAGCGACCTTCAAGGGAGAGAGCCTTGCACCCAGTGGTCTGTGAGCATCTCAAGGATAAGATGATGTCATCAGGGCTTGGTACTGTGTCAACAATACTGTCAGGAGCATCAGTAGACACCATGGAATGAATGAAAGGTACAGGGGGCAGGGCCCACAAAAGTACTATGATGGATGAAGAATGGGACCCGGATGGCCGAGAGGACACAGGTGAACCAGGCCTTCTGGAAGCTCCATGGTCATGATCATCTGGCCGCAAATGAGGCAAGCACAAGCCAGTCATTGCCTGGCAGAGAAAGTGAGTAACTCTTTCCCTCCCGATATGAGGAAGGCCAGAAGCAAACGTCTTTCTGCTAGCCAGGTACAAGTTCCCCTAAGCAATGGATACTTCTGCAAGAAGGAGCACAAAAAGAACACCATGGTGGCCTAAATAGAAGTCCTAAAATGTGAGGCTAGGTTACTCTTAAGAAAAAAAAAAAAAAAGAGGTTTTTCAAGTCACATGTAGTCATGCACCCTGTTAAGAACCAAATTCTATTCTTGGCCATTTGGAAGATTAGACAAGCTCCCTGCTCAATCCCGCACTTGTACACCTTAAATATCATTGTTCTTCAGAACAGTGTGTGTTGGAAAGGCTTTCACTTCATGCTTGTGGTTGCATAACTCAACTCTGAATTTGTCCCTTCCCGAAAAACATGGGGAGAAAAATTTAACAAGTAATTTAAAATGGTTTTGCTACCCCGTTTTCTTCCTTGGGCGACCAGGGAGGTCTCTGCCGCCCCAGGCCTACAGGGGAGTGCCAGATCCCTCACTCTGGACCCAGCTCTGGGAAGGCATCCCTCTGGTGGGGTGGGGAGACTTCATCTATCCTATGCCCTCCATTCGTGCAAGGAAAATACACTATATTTTCTAAAAAAAAAAAAAAAAAGAAAAGAAAAAATAATGGGCTTTATATGTGAGTGCTAGTGGTTGTCAAAAGAAACCATATAAATGTGACTCTGTTACTCCTTCAAAGACAAGCTAAGGTGCCTTCAGTTCAACTCTGTACACTAAAATCAAAGTTTTCTTGGAATTCACATTCGTCTATGGCTTCTATGCTCAAGCTAAATTCTGAATCCACTCCAAGCAATGAACATGGAATGCAGGTTTATTTCTTGATCGTAAGAAGCAGTTCCAATTTTAGATTAAAATTCATTATTAGGTGTCTGCTCAGTTCGGAAGGAACTCAGGATATAAGGGGATGTCTTGAAGATAAGGCAACTACTATTCCCATGAAGACTGGGACTCTTCCCCTTGGTATCCCTCTCATGTGGTAGGGAGACCTCACCTACTCAGCCACACCAGCCACCATTCGTCAGACCTGACTCAGCGAGGCTCCTGGGGGAGCTGTGGTCGGCTCTGCCTGCAGATCATGCTGTCCTGGCTTTGAATCCGGGCTCAGCAGATCATGACCATGTGGCCTCGGGCAAATGGCTTAACTTCTGTAAGCCTCCAATTCCTTGTGATTACGTGGGAATGAAAGTTGCCCTGAGAATTTCGGAAGTCATGTAGAACTGAGTTCAGTGGCTGGCATACAGATTAGCCGTTTATAATGTGATTATAAAAGGGTTAGGCTCCACACCAGCACCACTGAGCACTCAGTCTGGTAGGGGATGCAGGTATTTAAATAAATGGCGGAATGAGAGTGTAGTGCAAGCTGGCCACCACCAGCCACCTTACAAGGACCAGCATTGGCACATTGCTTTGGTGGCTTCTAATGGACATGAAGGAACAGCGATGGGGTGGCTCAGATATCAGAGTCTCCGGGTTGCACACTTGGAACCAGGAGGGATAATCATCTTTGGTGCATTGACTCCTACTGACTAAACTCATGACAAGCCAGAATCCAACACAATTAAATTACAGGGCAAAACATGTCTGGTTGACTAGAACATTTGCATAGCATGACTGATATGTACCCTTGTCTTCATGTAAGTCTCCCTGACTCACGCAGTTCATCTGAGAAGGAGACTTGGTATCTGTAGGGACTGAGGAAAGGAGCCAGGTGGCCATAATGGCGATTATGGACCCTTTAGGCCTAGGCAGCCACCCGTGGCTGATAGGCCAATCTCTTTGGGCTAAATGACTACCCTCTTCCTCTGCCACTGTTTCTTACGTGTCAAAGGATCAGGAAATTACCTTGCCAGGTAATTAACAGTGTCATCTTAGCACCTAGCCCAGGGCTGGCTCACAGCAAATGCTTAGTACATCTTTGGTGAATGACAAATTGACATCCTCTGAACATGTGGGTCATGCACATTGCACATATTCGAGCATTTCATGTTGTGTATTTACTGTAGTCCTAAGCCACATTATTTGCATCATGTCTCTTCCCTAACAGACAAAACCTTGAAGTGATTACTTAGGCATCATCCCAAAATTCAGAATTTAGATGATTTCAAATAAATTTACATAAAATAAAATGCAACCATTGTAAGCATGTCATTCAGTGAGGTTTGACAACAATCACCACCACAATAAGATACAGAACATTTCCAAGAACCAAAACAGCTCCTTCCTGCCCCTTTGCAGGCAATCCCCTCCAACCAGGTCGGCTTTCCATCATACATTTATTCCCCATTCCTGAATTTTACAGAAATGGAATCACAGAGTAGGTACTCTTGTGTGGCTGGCTTCTTTCACTCAGTGTAAGGTTTTGGAGATTTTCAGAGTCTGACGTTTGTCCTGCTACTTCTTGGCCAAGTGGCCTCGGGCACCTGTTTGACCCCTCGAAGCCCACCCCCTCTATTTTTAAAGTGGGGGGACAATGAGAGAATACTTGATGGGTATCTGGGGAGTATGACACCTGCCAATCCTAGTGTTTGGCCCTGGGAGGATGAGCATCCATCCATTTTGCTCAGGACTAAGGAGTTTTGTAGAACATGGGACTTTTCCATGCTGACATCTGCAAAGTCCCAGGTAAACCGAGACAGCTGGTCACCCTAGATGGTGATGGCTCAGCTGCAGAGGCTGATTTACTGTGAAGCTAATAAAGCTTCAGCCTCAGGGCCTCCCCTATGCAGGTTCCTCCAATGCCTAGCAGTGTATTGGCACAGCCATATGTTTCTGTAAGATTTATAAAAGTAAGATACGTTTGCATTCTTCTGCTTCATGAGGCACCCACCCCTCTCACTAACCCCAACCCCAAACTGTATAAGCTTCAGGCCCTACAAAATCTGGAGCTGCCCCTGGGAGCTGCTATGATTATTGCTGATGGGAATGGCAGCCTGCCATGCACCCTCTGGGCATGACAGTGTGGGGGAAAATGGCCTGCTGACCTTCCTTCCTCATCCTTACATTTGGAAATGGCTATCGCTACATCATGGCACTAAGGGACAGATTTAAATCTTTACCCTGATTACACCGGTTATACCATCATCATGTCACTTGAATCCCTAGAATTCAAGAAACACAGCATACATCACTATAAGAAAGCTAATTCAGGGCGCCTGGGTGGCTCAGTTGGTTAAGTGACTGCCTTCGGCTCAGGTGATGATCCTGGAGTCCCCGGATCGAGTCCCGCATCGGGCTCCCTGCTCAGCAGGGAGTCTGCTTCTCCCTCTGACCTTCCTCCCTCTCATGCTCTCTCTCTACCATTCTTTCTCTCTCTCAATAAATAAATAAAAATCTTTAAAATAAAAGAAAAAAAAGAAAGCTTATTCAGCAGGAGATAGTGTAGGAAGCCCTAAACTTACCTGCTTGATGGTGCCACAGCCCGTGTATGGAATTGTGAACGTCACCTGGCTGGCCGTTATTTGGGGCTGACACTGGGAGCTTTCATTCCAGTTGGGAATGACAAGGTCCTTGGCAGAATAGCCCAAGGATTGGAGGTAGCTCTTGCTCACACTGGCTTGCATGTGGTTTGGCAGACAAAGCAGCTCTGGTGGATGAGGGCAAACAATGTAGGCAGTCAGCACCCCAGCAAGCCCACTAGGCACTCCTCCCGTATAAAGGTGCAGAGACCAAGATGGTGGACAAAGACAGCCCACATTGGCTAGCCCTCACACAACCCCCCGGGTGCCCCATGACTCAGGTCAGTGTTATTCTCACAAGACCCCTTTGAGGGCATAGGGACTTAGGATTCCCCTGATGGAGAAATGGAGGCAGGACGTGAAATGAGTAAAATGTTTTGCCAACCTACCATTTATCCATAAAGTAAAGTCATGTTCCAGTGAATGGTGGAGATGTTATAAAATAAAGTCCTTTAGTTAGGAATAGGTCAATGCTTAAAATCCTGACTGCAAAAGAGAGCTTGGACATCACCTCACTCAGTCCCTAAGCCAATCTATAAATCAGTCCATTTAATAGCTGAAATCGTGGCCATTAGCTGGAAGTGGCTGAGTGATCGGCTCAGTCCATCTTCAGATAGCAGACAAATATGCTGTCCTGGGACATAGTCCAGGGGCCAGGTGGTCACCTGTGTCCTTGGCACTGACATCTCACCATGTGCTGAAAGTATGACCTCACATCTTCTTTTTAGTCTCTGCTGACCACAGTAAGACCACCACATGGCCCATCAACCAGTTCTGGCCCTTGATCTCATTTCTGGGCAGCCAGAGTCCCAAGACCACTGCTCGTGGCCCCTTTCAGCACCAGATTAAGCCGTGGTGACCTGACAAAGCTGTTCTAGTTTCTTATTTCGCAACCACAGAAGGGTGGAGCAGAGGTGTCCCCCACAACGAGCCCCCATGAGGCGACTTACTGGTGTTATCTTCAGAAGGGCTGGAGTAGTAGCTGGCCTGGAAACCCCTCCTCGTGATGCTGCCATCGCTAACAAAGCGAATGGACATGAAGTTCGATGAGGAACTGAGGGAGCTCTTGGCTCCATCACAAACGCGGGCAATCAGAGGGGAACTGTGGGAGGGGCCATCGAACACTTCAATATAGTCATAGTTGCAGCCACCTTCAAGCCTGCAGGGACACAACACAGAGTTTTGGCGTCACTTTCAGCCAGGATTTGATGCAGGGGGTCAGATCTCAGTGAGTTGGGGGAGTGGGGAGGGTCACACCTTTGTGGCAGAAATACTGACAAAATTAATAGTTGAAAATAACAGAATGATATTCACTTCCCTGTGATCGCCACACACGAAACTTCGTCCTAACTTTCGGGGTCACACATATGAAATCGACAGCCCCTCTCCTGACACTCCTTTGCATCATGAAAGGAGAGGATCACAACCTGCCTTAGACTGCTTCTTCAATCAAAAAGACCCTGGCTTCCCATTGAACAAAATAAATAGTCATGAATCCATAGTGATAGAAATAAATAACTGGACTAATAAATATTGGACAAGTCAAATAACCTCTCTGAAGGTTAGGTGGTCGACCTTCCTCCATAGGATCGCATGAGCTTCAAGTACAGTCTCTGAGATCCAGAATGCATTGTAATGGTGAGGAGATTAAAATAATATTATAACTTCTGCAAAACGCCAAATGAATTTCCAAGGCAGAGATTCGCAAAGCCACAGCAACCAAAAAGCAAGAGAGAAGGCTATTGTGTTCAGGAAAGGCTGTTTCACAGAAGAAATGATGGTACCCTCTTTCCTGGACACCAGAAAATACTCGTACCTCTGCTTGGTCATGCCCCTCCTTGGACCAATCATATATTAACGTGGCTTTGACGCTGTGTCCTCTGCTTAAAGCAGTGATTCCCCATTTTCACTGAATGAGGAACAGATAAATGAGCCTCTGCAGCAGAGATCTCTCCACCTCTACTTGACCCCCCAGAGTTCACCCCCCAAAAAAGGAGGCAGTGGAGAAAAAAAGGGTTAAAAAAAAAAAAAAAGCCTGGTGTGGTTAATAGGATTCTGTGTGTTACTCTCACTCCTAACAGGCAGCCTTCCCGTCGGATAACCTTTTCCAAGTATTTTCACCTCTTTCTCCCTTGTGACCTTCCCAGTAGCCAGAGATGAGAGGAAAGCAGGTATTTTATTTCCTTGTTTTGACCAAAGTTCAGGAAAATTAAGTGATTTCCTGTGGGCACACAGCAAATGAGTGACAGACCTGGGACTTTAAACCGGGGCTCTTGTCCCGGCCCCACCTCTGGGCTAGGTGAAAAATTGAACCCATAAGAGAAAATATCAATTGGGCTAACATATCTCCTGAAGGGCTAGGTGCCATTTATTCTGTTCTAGGACATCTGTGAGGCCCCCACGCGTTCGGCTCTGCACCCACGCACTTACTGGACATCTCTGAAGACAACAGTCACACGGTAGTTACTTTGGACTTCAATGTCCCACACACATCTGGCGTTGTTTGGATAGTTCCCTGGATAGAATGGGCTGGAAAAGTACCCGGATGGCTGGGACAGGAAGCCTCCGCAGGAATAATTTGCTGTCGGGAAGAAATGGAAATCTGGAGGGCCCCCAGAGCCTGCTGCACAGTCACCTGGGGAAATTTTTAAACAACCCCCTAGACAGAAAGCCAGCAGGAGGTGGTGTAGACCTGCACTGTCCAGGGAGGCTCTACTTAGGGGAGCCATCTCCTCATTTTTTTCAATGTCCCCCTACCCCCACGCCCGCTACCCCACCCAGGGGCACTGTCATTGAGGGGAAGGGAAAGGGGGGTTGTCAGGGAGCCCCAAACTTACTGTCTGGGCGAGTGGCATTGTGAACAGGAGCTGTTGACCAAGAGAAAAGATAACAATCAGTTTCCTGGTATCGTTGGCACAAATGTTCGGTGCTCACTTGCTCTGTGCAGAAAGGTGCCAACCCCGGGTTCACAGTGAGATGCTGGATGTGTGCCCTCAGAGAGCTCATGGCCTGGAGCGGTGGACGGGCAAGAGCAAATCCCAGCACGGCAGGATGCGGCTGTGATCAGGGCAAGCCCAGGACATGGTGGGAGCCCAGAGCGCTGGCTCCTGACCCAGACCGAGCAGAGAAAGGGCGGCCGGTAATCGGGGCGGTGGGTGCGTGGTCAGGCAAAAAGGTAGAGAGGGGGGGTTCCATGCAGGGGGACCCAGGCCTGACAGTCACTAGCACACGTAGGCAACATCAGTGTGGATGGAGCAGGAGGGGTGGAAGGAGGAAACGAAACAGACAAAGGAAGTGGGTCTGCCCCCGGACGTGGGAATCTACACCCAGAGGGTCCTGAGGAGTCACAGGAAGGGTGCGAAGGTGTGGAGGCTGGGACTGACGTTGGCATTTCGTGAGGACTCCCCCAGCCGCGGTGTGAAGAATGGCTGGGGGCAAGGCTGAGGGGTTGCTGCTGCAGGAAGCTGGTGGTGAAGAGGAGAGGATGGGGATGGAGGGGGAAGATCTCAGGAGCCAGGAATGTGCTGCGAGTGCTGGGAGCAGGCTCAGCAGCGGTTCCGGAGTGGGCAGCCAGGAGCTTTTGGTGGTTGCACACGGAGCTCAGTGATGCAGCAGGACCCACTGGCCTACACTGACCAGGGTCTGGTGTCTGAGGGGACAGGCAACACCTACACGGGTGGCTGGCCTCTCCTAGAGACTGACCAGAGATCTGACTCTTAGGCTGGCCAGGCCACTGACGGTCGAAGAGGAGCCCAGAGAGAGGCCCAGCTCTCCTCGGGTGGGGACATCCGCTGCAGGAGATACCAGTGCCGGGGAAGACATAAGGGGAAATTCCTGGGAGAGAGAGTGGCATGCCCTGCACCAGCAGCAGAGAGGGCCAGCCAGGCGGCTGGGTAGAAATGACGGGTACTTACCATGCGTTGTTGGCTGGCTTCCTGAAAAGGAAGAGGAGAAAAGCATCAGGCACTGAAATGTGGTGGGAAGAGGGGCCCGCATGAGGCAGGGGCACACCCATGTGACTCACAGTCTGACCTCTTCTGTGAGTGCACCCATGGCCTGTGGAGTTACTGCTGTAAGGCCTGTGTTACTAGGGGGAGGCCTTGGGTGGGTCTCCCCCGCTGCTCCCCAGCCTTATCATCACTTGGGGCTCATCAGCGCCACGACCAAGGTCACAGCATCACTTATTCCTCATTTCCTACTTGTCTGGAATTGTCCTAAGGTTTTACACGAATGAGCCACTTAGGTCTCCAATCGCCATTGGACGCAGGTGCACCATGACCATCTCCTCTTCGTACAGGAGGAGACTGAGGCTGACAGATGAGACCTCATTGCTAAAGGTCGCAGAGCCAATGGAAGGGTGAGGACACACATGCATACTAGCCCTGTGGCCAGTATAAGAGACAACGGGGCCCCTGCATGGTCTCCTGGAGCGGGAAGACCAAGGGCACAGCTGCCAAGCTCCAGCCCCACCTCCATCCCCGGAACTGAGCCACAAACACCATCAACCACCAGCCCTTAGCTTTCACCCTGCAGCAGGTGGGAGGTGAAAGGGGCCTTCCACGAATGACACCGCATGGTACCTGAGCAAATGACTCCAGCATCTTCACTGTGGGCACAGTTATGGGAGAACCAGCCTCGGTTCCGGCACTGCCAGAGAGTAGATTCAGTTCCTGAGCACACTACATCGTCCAGGGTGATGGGGCCAGAGCCGGGCCCAAAATAGGCATTTCCCACGGCAGATACTGCATATCCACACTCCAGCTGTCTGCAGACCACCTGGGCAACCTGAATGCCCCAGGAATCGTCACACACGGTCCCCCACGTGCCACCGTGGTAAATTTCCACACGCCCGGCACATGCATTATAGGAGAAGTTTGAATTGACTAATCTCAAGCCGGCATCTGAAAGACACATGGCATAAGAACTGAGGGTCATTGCCACAACAGATCTCAAAGGCCAAATAACCCATGGGCCTTGCTCACTCCTAAAGTCCCCAGGTGACTGATCAGGGTACAGACATCTCCAAGATCAGCTGGAAGGGGCTTAAGACACCACAGACCTCAGACCCCCTCCCCCTCCAGATGCGGACACGTTGGCTCAGCAAGGTCAGTCACCAGGTCTCCCAGGAAGTGGCAAACCCAAGGCCAAGGTGTGTCCGCGATTCCCCACATCTCTCGGGCTTGGTTTACCAGAGTCGGCTGTGAGATAAGGAGGAAGGGCAACACATGGCTGAGGTCCTTCTTTGCATTCACATAGGAACCATGACATGCACGGAAGCAGGGTCCACCTAAACACACTGAGCCCCGAAAGTCAGTTCTGTCAGATTTAGTTTGAACGCACCTCTAGGAAAGGAGTTATACCAAGCAGAAAAGCCGGTGTTTTGGACACTGACATCACTTCGAAATCGAACAGTCATTTGGTTGTAAGAAGATGTGAATATTTGCCTGGTGTCATTACAAATTTTCCCCAGCAAGTTACTGCTATTCAGTGATCCATCAGAGATTTCAACATAATCAAAACTGCAATTTCTATGCGTCTCCAGCCTGTATGAAAAAATGCACTCATGTCAACATTGGAATTTCTATTGCTCCTGTCTTTTACGGATAGTTCGGACTTTCACGAGCCATGTTACTGAACCTAAGATTTTCTTCTTGTTCTTCTTCCATCAGATCAAAGGACTTCCCTATGTTGCCTGATGCTTCATGGTAGGATCAGAGCAACGTAATGTCTAGCCTGTGGCACCTGAGAGTGAAAAGCATCTCAGCCCAGCACACAACGCAGACCACGGAGGCCCAGCCTCCACCAGGTGATCTGAATGTTACTTACTGCAGATGACTGAAGCCCAGATTGATGCGGTAGCCGGGGTTCACTTCTATTTCCCAGACACACTCGGCATTGTTGGGGTAGTATCCAGGGTAGAATGGGCTAGAAAATGCCCCACTGGGATTGAATAAGAAGCCGCCACAACCCAAAGAGGGTCCTATAGAGGACACAGAGAGGGACACGCCAACATGGCGGGTTTTAAGTGTGTTATAACAAGCAATTGTCTTCTGGGTAAGAGTCCTTGGGCTTCATCCCCCGACCTTACACCATGACTCGGTTTTTCCTCTCTCGGGCCTGGTCCTGGGCTGCCCACATTAGGGGCCTTAATCTGAGGATCTACCTCCCTCATGGGGCCTAGAAAAGTGACTCTCTGCCAAGAGATGACCCAAGCTTCAGAGAGAGCATGAGTCACCTTGTCACAAAAACGCCAAGAAAGCAACAAAGTTATTATTGTCATTGTTCAGTGGAGCGCAGGGATCATCTTGGCTGAGCAGGAGTGCTGGCCCATGGAGAGCACTCTGCAATATAACTTATTCCCTAGGGTTTCCGGCCAGTTGACAAGAAGCAGTGGGATGTGGGGTCGATAGCATGGTTTCTGCCACAGAAGGGCTAGGCTTGCATCTTGTCTCTGCCTTTATCAGATCCATGATCTCGAGCAAGTTACTGAAACTCTCTGCCTCAGTTCCCTCATCTGAAAAATGGGAGTGCTAATAACGTCTGCCTCATCAGATTTCTGGGTGAATTAAATGAGATAATACACGTGAACCCTGACAGCAGGGCCTGGCACAAAGTAAGTAATACTCAACAGTATCAGCTGATATCATTTATCACAGAATGATAAATAATATTAAGCATTCAAACTCTTGTTGGTCTGTTTAATAGACCATTAAAAAATATCTGGATACTCAGTGGTGATAAAAATTGAAACTGGCCCTTTCCTTATTCATAGCTCTTTTTGTTTATTTTTGCTACAGTGTACAATTCAATGGTTTTTAGTATATTTTTTTAAATTTTATTTTATTATGTTAGTCACCATACATCATTAGTTTTTGATGTAGTGATCCATGATTCATTGTTTTCATATAACACCCAGTGCTTCATGGTTTTTAGTATATTCAGAGTGCTGCAACCATCACTGCAGTCAATTCGAAAAGATTTTGTCACTCCAGAGAGAAGCCCTGTCCCCAACAGTAGTCACTCTTCATTTGCCCCCAGCCCAAGGCAACCGCTAATCTACTTTATGTCTCTACAGATTTGTCTATTCTGGACATTTCATATCCATAGAGTCTTACAATATGTGGTCTTTTGTGACTGGCTTCTTTTGCTTAGCATCATGTTTTCAAAGTACGCCCCTGTTGTAGCGTATATGAACAAGCACCAGGACTTCACTTCCTTCTATTGCCAAGTAATATTCTGCTGTATGGATGGACCATATTTTGTGTATCCATTCACCATGATGAACATTCAGGTGGTTTCCACTTTGGGGTTATTAGGAACAAAGCTGCCCACCTGTGAACATTCATATGTAAGTTTCTATGTGGACACGTGCTTTCCTTTCTCCTGAGTATATGCCCAGGACTATAATTGCTGGGTCATATGGTAACTCTATGTTTAACTTTTTGAGGAGCCACCAAACTGTTTCTCAGTGGATGTACCATTTTATATTCCCATCAGCAGGGCGTGAGGGCTATGACTTCTCCACATCCTCACCAACACTTGCTATTATTTGATTTTTTTTTATTCTAGCCGAACTACTAGGTGTGAAGTAGTATCTCTTTGTAGATTTGCTTTGCATTTCCACGATGGCTAGTGATGTTAGACATATTTGCACTGAAAATATTCAATGACATAAACAAGTGGCCATATTTGCATGTGCTTATTGACCATTTCTATATCTTCCGTGGAGAAATATCTATGCAGATCCTGCGCTCATTCTTTCATTGGGTTATTGGAATTTTTATTATTCACTTGTAAAAAGTTCCTTATGTATTCTAGATGCAAGTCTCTTATCAGATGTATGATTTGCAAATATTTCCTCTGTTTCTATGGAAAAATGGTGCTTCTTAAAGATAATTTAGCCTTTAAAATATGCCTACCCATAAGTTCTATATCTACACTGGGAAGTAATCAAAGATAAAGCCAAAGTTTCAGAGCAAATGGTATGCATTACAGATTTCTAAAAATATAATAGAGACAATTATAAAATAAAATAAAAGTGTTACTGTATGTGATTACCTAAGTACATAAAATAGACTTAGAAAGAATTAATCCTTTTGTCCTGTGATTAGTAATGGTTTAATTAAATCATAATATATCCATAGAATGAAAAACTGTGTGCCCAATAAACTTTATGGTGTGAAAATAATTTCAATACCTTAAAAATGCTAAGGACATAAAAATAAGTATTCTATACTCATGTGAAAACGAATGTTATAAAATAGGGCAGAAAGCCTGGCGTCATTTGTGTATGTGTGCATGTTGGCGTACGTATCAAAATGCCAATTATGATTAAATATTCACCCATTCATTCATGTATTCATTTATTCTTTCTAGAAAACATTTATGTCATGCCAGATACAATGCTAGAAATAAGGATGCAAGAGGGTAAAAGGGAGATATGGTCTCTGCCCTCAGGAAGTACACAGTTTGGCATAAAAGTCAAGGATGATCTTTTGCAAACAGACTTCTGATTTTGCAATTCTCCAGCTTAAAACTTGTCAACAGCTCCAGCTGTCCTTAGGATAAAGTCAGGAGTTCTAACCTGTGCACAAAGCTCCGAATGATCTGGCAACAGCCAAGCTCCTTCCCACCCAGGCCTACAAAGTGTTCCCTCTGTCTGGAAGGCATGTCAGCAAGTGAGCCTGCTTCTCTTGTGTACCTCTGCATCAGCAGCACTTCGTGAAGAACTTCCCCTAATCCCTTGATCAAGTAAAATCTCTGTGAATATGCCCTCTTTGCACACGGAACTTCCCCTCTGAGGCATCTGTCACACCTGTAATTACATCATAAATTCAGTAGTAAATATTTACTACTGTGAGCTACCTGAGGGAGGAGATTGTTTTCTCTTTTTCAACATTCTGAAATTTTACAACCTTCTTGATGGCCATTAGGTCATATGTACAGCAAAGACCTTAAAATACTTAGCATAAGAAGAGTTAGCATTTATTAAGTTCATTCTATGTACCAAGCACTATGTTAACTTTAGTCCAGTAAATTTATCTCTTTCCTCCAGGAAAAATTGGGGAGATATGCAAAGACTTATAAAAATATTCTACATCAGAGGATCATTCATAACAATGAGGAAATATAGACAACATAAACGTTCAAGGGAACTAGTAAACTAATTTGTGGTCATAGCTGTGTAATGAAATACAATGTAGGCATTTAATATGATGGGAAGAAAATATTCAGTGACATAAACAAGTGGCCATATCATTTCTTAGGACTGATGGGAAGCTATTGAGCAATAGCCACGAGGTAAAATTTGCTTGTGAGGGATTGATTACTTGTGAAATTATCCATTCATTGTCTCCCTTCCTTCTCTCAAAGCTTTGGAGATACCCCAAGAAATAAAAGCCTTTAAATCTATTCTTTGAAGAACAACTTGTTTCATTTCCTTAAAAGAAGGGGAAGTGGGTCTCCTTATTAAAACAAAAGCCATCCACCTGGCAGGGGGGTAAAAAGAGTGGAAGGTAGAGTGGCAGGCTGTGTGTGGGCAGCTTTGGAGCAGTGTAGGGTGGGGCCGCTCTGGGTAGGTTGTCTGCACAGGTTGAACTGGGCTGTACATTTACAGATATGTACTCCATGGACAGTCTGTTTGGGGATGAGAATCCCAAGCCCTCAGGTGGCAAACCGTGATACTTACTATTAGTAGTTATAGTTGATGGGCGCCACCAATCTGGAAGGAAAATGAAGTGATTTTAGGATTTTATTGGAAAAGGTTTCATTCCATGGTCCTTAGTTTGGTAAGGAAATGTTACTGTAGATGCTTCTATCCCTGGCTGGAGGACTTCTCAGAGCCTGGACAATTCCAATATGCACTGCGAATGGCCCAGATGGGCTAGAGTATGGAGCTAACACTTCCCAACATACTTGGCACTAAATATTTTCACTGTAGGGTAAAGAAAACCTTGGGGATTGCTCTCTCAACGTGAAGGAATTCTTGAACAGACAAGCATTGGTAGGAGTTTTATTTGGTTGTATTTCTCAAATGATCATAATTCTGACTTGAACAGTTAGATTCATCTGAAATGACCAGAGGGGAACAAAAATCCTTCCACTACACGTTCTCTTAGCAAACCATGGCGGCAGAGAGTGGCAGGGGATCCAGGTGGATTCTTAGGCTAAGCTAAGTAGGAGCTAAAGTCTGGGGCACTCAGCTGGTCATAGTAACAAACACCAGAGTCTTCAAAGAGAAGAGCCTGGGCTTCTCCTTCACTTTCTAGAAACATGAGAGTAGAATTCCAGTGAGGAGTGATGCTGGGCTGGGATGCAGTTACTCACCTGGGGTAGTAGGAGTGCTTTGTACAGCTGCAAAAAAAAGAGGACACATTATTAGTCTCTGTGAAGGATGTGCAGAAAGAAGCCTCTCAGGATCCAGAGAAACAGAAATTCTGAATGCCTCACCCACTATCACTAAGAAAGACTTTCTGGAAGGGGTCCTGAGGATGTGAAGTGTAAAAGTAAACCTCAGGGGCAGGATTTCACACACAAAAATCTATTGCAGGAATTTATTCTCACAACCTTTATGCCCATTAATACATGACTACTCTATGGGCTTATTAAGATACTGCAGTCCTCCCATAAAATTCAAGTACATCATAAGATTGCTGATGCACTTTCCACTCAAGCCATGAGGGAAAATGCCTGACCTTCAACAAAACTCAGGAAGATGAGTTAACAGTGAAAGAAAATAGTTTTTCAGAGAAAATAACAAACAAAAATAGAGGCTCAAAATTTTGAGGTTCACCTGAGCAGATGACGCCTGCATCCTCCGAGTGCCTGCA